CCTCCCCCCCCCCCCCCCCCCCCCCTTGGCAACACACTGACTACACAACCTCATACACAACCTCAACCGTGTCAGAGCTAATGAGCAGCAGCTTGTGCCATCATCTCCTGGTACCGATACTACTTTCTGAGCATACACATGGCTCCTTTGCGCATTGTTCTCTGATGCTCCGGTGCTGGGGAGATACAGGGGTGACTTGGCTTGCATGCCAGCTGAGAAGTCCCTCCTGGCCCGCTGCACCACGTGGGCCAAAGGTTCACCAACATTGGCCTAAACCTATTCTTTTTGGAAAAAGCCTTAGTTAGTAGTTTTTTCCGTATTTAGAATGGGCAGAAATGGTGAGCAGTGCATTAAAAGCTACCCAAGGAAGTCTTTTCCAAAATCGCCCACTTTTCCATGGAACTTTACCCCTCTGTTAGGGTTAGGGGTGTGCACCAGGGTAGGGTTAGGGTTGGAAAAACGAGGTGTCCTGGCAAGGTTTTGATGGTTGTGATGTGTTTAGAATGGGCGGAAATGGTGAGCTGGGCAGAAAAAGCTACAAAAGGAAGGCTTTTTCAAAATCATCTGCTTTTCCATGGAACTTGAGCCCTCTATTAGGTTGAAAATTTTTTTTTAGGTTGAAATTTTTTATTTAAATAAAAACATAGCCCTCTATTAGGGTTAGGGGTGTGCACCAGGGTAGGTTAGGGTTGGAAAAGCGAGGTGTCCTGGCATGGTTTTGATGGTTGTGATGTGTGTAGAATGGGCAGAAATGGTGAGCTGTGCAGAAAAAGCTATCCATGGCTTTTCCAAAATCGCCCACTTTTCCATGGAACTTTACCCCTAAATTAGGGTCAGGGGTGTGCACCAGAGTAGGGTTAGGGTTAGAAAAACTGGATGTCCTGGCATGTTTTTGATGGGTGGCATGTGTTTAGAATGGACAGAAATGGTGAGCTGGGCAGAAAAAGCTACAAAAGGAAGGCTTTTCCAAAATCGCCCACTTTTCCATGGAACTTGAGCCCTCTATTAGGGTTAGGGGTGTGCACCGGGGTAGGGTTAGGGTTAGAAAAACTGGATGTCCTGGCATGATTTTGATGCCCATTGTATATACATACCAAGCATCGAAACCATGCCGGGACACCTCGTTTTTCTAACCCTAACCCTACCCTGGTGCACACCCTTACCCTAGTAGAGGGGTAAAGTTCCATAGAAAAGAGGACGATTTTGAAAAAGCCTTCTTTAGTAGTTTTTTCTACCCAGCTCACCATTTCTGCCTATTCTAAACACATAGCACCCATCAAAACCATGCCAGGACTCCTCGTTTTTCTAACCCTAACCCTACCCTGGTGCGCACCCCTAATCCTAATAGAGGGGTAAAGTTCCATGGAATAGAGGGCAATTTTGAAAAAGCCTCCTTTAGAAGTTTTTTCTGCTCAGCTCATTATTTCTACCCATTCTAAACACATCCCACCTATCAAAACCATGCCAGGACTCCTCATTTTTCTAAACCTAACCCTACCCTGGTGCACTCCCCTAACCCTAGTAGAGCGTAAATTGCCATGGAAAAGTGGGCAATTTTGAAAAAGCCTACTTTGAGTAGCTTTTTCTGCGCAGCTCACCAAGGGTTTCTCGTTCCTGCCGTGGCAGAAGTGCCATAGGTTTGCCACCACTGTCCTTGATTAATTCTCTGATCAAATAAAGCCCACATGGTTCTTATTTCTTGCTTCCTTTGAATATATGGGTTCTATGTATCAGAAGAAAGAATTTTTCCTGAGTTACAGGTGGTGCCGTGTTTGTCTTTTTCTTTTTCAACAGGCTGGTGCATTTGTTTTGGACCCTACCTGTGGCCTAGGAACTGTCCTTCTGGAAGCAGCCATTGAATGGCCGGTAGGCTGTGTTCTAAGAAAAATTATGATTTTTGCCATTTGGCATTGTAATCTCTTGTGACTGTGATTTAGATCTTTTGGCCAGGTTTCCTTTTAGAATATGTAGAACATCTCGCTGTCACTTACTTTTTCAATGTTTATATGAACTAATATAATGATTGCTTTCCTCTTCAGAATGTGCATTATTTTGGGATTGACATAAGTGATTCACAGCTACAAGGAGCCTACTCAAACATTAAATCTGCAGCCATGATGGATAAAATTGAACTATTGAAAGCTTCCGTGACAGGTAAAAGTTGGCAAGAGTTTTTGGTGCAAAGAATACTTCAAAGACTGCGGGCTTTGTTTTTGATTATTATTGGAAAGATAATTTGTAAGATGTTGACAGATGTTTCCTTTATAGATCAACAGTGTTGACTAAAATAGGGTAACCAGGCTTTAGGTTTCCAACATTGTTCTGTGCAACCTGAAATCTTTGATTTGATAAGAGTTATCTTCTGAATCATACGGTATCTCTTTGGAACTGAGGCTGGAGACAGAATGTTCTTCCTAAAGTTAAAGGTGGTTTGGAAGAGATAGCACTCCTGCTTGTGGAATGTAAACTATCTGTTTTTCACTTTAGAAAACAAGGCTTTTATAGTGCTACAAAAACCTGTTTGACTATCAGTGACAGCTATATGAACAGCTGCTATTATTATTACGTTGCACTGCATTGCTTTGCACTTCTAGACCACCTGTAGCCAGAGCTCTCTGGGAAGTTCACAACATTTAAGTCACCCATCCAGATTTCAACCAGGCCCAACCCTTCTTTGCTTCCAACCTTTTACCTTTCCTAAAAGCTGTTGTCAATCTCTAGCTTAATATAACGATATAACCATTTCTGTTAACTGACAAAAAGAAATTCATTTGAAAATCAGGTAATATATATTATTAATTCTTGGAATTTATCTAATTATTCTTATGCTTGAGTTCTTGATGACTGGGATCCTAAGTTTGTTATCATGTCCAGAACAGGGTTCTGCTCATTGGATACACCCACCAATGGATGCAGAGGAAGTGAACTTTCTCTGTAGCCTCTGTGAAAATCTGCTCTGGTGGGTTTGGAAATACACTAGAATGGTTTCAGTGGGGGCTTCAGGCAGAGGAATTGGCAAAAATTGCTCACCCCTCCTCACATTCTCATCTGCTGCATGTCCATGAATGGAAGAGGCCATTCTATTCATGGATGTCTACTCAAGATACAAGCTAATGCTTCTAATGTTAAATCTTTATTGACAGTGCTCCATGAATGGGTCAGTAAACTAAGGGTTTCATTGGATATTTACCTGCACCTCTTGGTCAGCCTTTTTGAGAGAATAGGTATGTGTAGCATCAGTGCCTCCTAGACTGCGTCACCAACTCTTGTCTGTTTATTCCATTAGAGGAATGCAGGGTTAGGTATTGAATAATTTAGGCAATAAGCATGTGTTTATTCACCAAAAATGGTTCCAGAGCAGTTGACACATTTGGAATAGTATACAAAAAAGATGTATTCTGCCCTTCAGGTGACCTAAAATTATTTTTAAACACACATTTCCTTTATAATCTGAAAATCTCTCCCTGGAACTGATTAAAAAAACACACAACCTCGCTGGCTCACTGAAAGGGACTTGTTTTACCTATTCTTTTGTTGAGGCCAAGACTGAACCTTCACAGTAAGGCTTTAGATGGTTGCAAGCTTTTTTTAGTAGTGTATGCTACATTTCTTAAGTGCTGTGGAACTCTGTTTCCATTATCCACATTCATTACTTCACCTGGCAAAAGATTTCATTTTTTATGCTTTTGACTTGCACTCAGCTGATGATTGGGAATGCAGTGTTAGTCAACTGTTAGTATTTGGTTGGTATATATTAATTATTTTTGTACTCAAAAGAGAATAATGACTGGGAATTTAACTGACAAAAATATGTGTAATGCTACAATTCTGTCTTAATTCAAGCTCTGTTTAAATGTGTAATATCTCCATAGCATTGCCATTTCCTTCGGAAAGTATTGATGTTGTTTTGGCGGATATTCCCTTTGGAAAAAAGTTCAAAATAACAAAAGACATGAAGATCCTGCCAGATGTTTTTCAGGAACTTGAAAGGTACTTATGTCCCAATATCAGAGACATAAAACTGATATAGCAGATTGAGACCTTGCTGATGATGTGCAGGCCAAAGGCAAGTCAGTATTGTTAATTAGGTAAAAACCATTTCATTTCATTTTTGTCATATTACCTACTAGATCATGACCAATCATGACCAGAAAAAGCAGATTGCTAGAAATGAGCTTAGGACCGTGTGGATTAATCAGTCTGCAGACAAATCACCAGTGGTCCCTCCAGTCTCTCCTTCCTCACCCGCTCCTTGCTGCAGTATTGCAGGGGGCCCTGTGAGAATGAAACAGGTACCCCTCTGACAGCTCGAACTGTGAGAAAATTTCAGCTTGTTATACCTGTTGCGAGTCTCCGTTAGGTGAACAGGATTTGTGCCTGAAGTGCAGCTTCAGCAGGAAAAACATGCAAGCCTCTTTGTATTCATTGCCAAAAAGGTGATGAAACAAATATTTTTAAATTCTATTTTTAAAACTATTCCTATAATTATTATTATTATTTCTGTACTTCCCAATATCTGGCATTCTCTGTACAGCAGTTGATTTAAAATTGTGAACCCTCCAGAGAGTTTCAGCTATTGGGTGCATAGAAATGAAATTAACAATAATAATACCATCCTGTATAGCATTCTGATGTTTTAATATGAATCTCTTATTTCATGCAAAGTATAGCGCTATAACACCATAATGCTATAATATTGTTTTTATGTTGAGATAAACCTAGAATATGAGTGTTTTTCTTTACATTCCTTTTATTTAAAAAATCTAGCTGCAAAACAATAAAACATTTGATTGAAAATATTTTTAAATCAGTCATAAATAACAATGCATTATACCGCATGTGTGCTGAGTTGTGAGAGATTGCCCTTTAAAAATATGAAAGCGTAGCACTAAAGACATCTAACATGTGAAGGTTTTGCTTCTCTTCCATTTTATTTAAAAATAGCTTTTCTCAAAACATAAAAAAGATGGGAGAGCCACAAGGAAGATATATAGGCCGACAGTGATTTGGATTAGCATGTCATGCATGACATAAGAGTAGGTAGGGGAATTCCACACTAAATCCCAACTGCCAAAGCATTCCCTAGTGCAGATGCATTTTAACTTTCTTAAAAGAATTTTATTTGTGCTGCCAAGTTATGTATTTTCTGTGGCAAATGAAAATGCTGTTTTTGGCTGTTCTGATCTCTCTGGAAGGGTAATCAATGTGGCAGCCAGCAAGTCCCCCCACTTCTTGAATGGCCTTGGTAATCAGACATTATTTGTGGTCAACAGTCCTTTCACTTCCCGACACACACAAAAGGCTTAAAAGGAAGAGATCAAGTTTTCACTTCATGTTGGTCTTTGCAGACACTGGAAAGAAGTAGGAATCCCTCTTCTTTCTGCAGAGTACGTAAATGACCCCTCATCATTCTTAAGGTCCAAAGTACTTTGGCAAATGCAGCACATTCAGGGCTGGGAAAGGCAATGTCTTTCTGTACCCCCCGTCATGATGCAACAGGCCCTGTCCATCTCCAGCTTGTCTGCAATGCACAGAGATCTCAAAGGAGGGGTGTCTTACGTTCGAACAGGGATGGCTGTTGCAAGGCAAACCTTTATGGTCACCGAAAGTAACTTGGCAGGGGCACTTGCAGAACCCTGATGGCTTCCATCTCTGCCCTTTATGAGGTTATCGCATCATGAAGGATGCCCTAAATTGATGCAAGTAAATGGCTGCCTGTCTAGTATTGTGTAGAAAGAAATGGATTGAGACAAGACCTGTTTTCAAGAAGAGCACTTCTCTTGGTGTAATTTGCTGCTTCCATATGGAATTGTTTGATACGCTGCATGAAAACATTCTAATAGGAATGGCAAATAATGTTGAATTTAAGCAGGAATAAAGCAGTAACTCTCTTCTATGTGTTGTTTTTCAGGGTGGTTTGTGCTGGAGGGACTGTTGTGCTCTTACTTAGTCAAGAGCTCTTTAGAAGCCTTCCTAGTGGCATTGCCGATGATCCTCAATTGAAGAATCACAACTCTGTAGCTGCTCATGGTGACTGCACCCAAAATGCCACTGTATCAGTCAAGTCAAATACTCCAGAAAAAAGCATTAGCCCCAAGACTGTTTCTTCATCTGCTCAAGTCACTGGGAAAGAACACGTTAGCAATAAAAGGACAGCTCTTGGCTCTCTGCTGCTGATAGAATCATTTGAAGTGAGCCTAGGCAAAACTGATGCGTTCATATGCAAGTATAAGAAGATAACAGACAGCCCTGCAAGAATGTAGCAGCATCCAGCCAGTGTGCATGCTAGTTTGGAGCTTGTGCTTAAAATATAAATCCAGGGCCACTGAGCACTGCTGAATCAGCATGCTGGGCAGTGTTGCACTAGTTTTCAGGAAGGCACCAGTGGAGCCCAAAGGCATACAGAAGTGGAGCATAACTGAAGGCCTTGTCTTCTGACGTTAAAGGGGTGCATGCCTCTTGACTGCAATGTTCTGTTAATGGACTGCTCTCCCCAGGGAGTCTGACACCCAGTCTTAATGGGAGCTTTTATTAAGCTCTTTTTAAATACCAGCTGCACTATTTTTTACCTGCCTTCCTTGTGGTTAGTGTGTGCTATTCTGTCTCTGCTGTCTTACTCCTGTGTTGTTTTGCTGTTTTAAAATTGTTTTTAGAAGTTTTAATGCCTCCCACAAGAGCTTTTGTTTGTTTTTATAGAAGCACAGATTTGTTCCCAAAAAGGAATTGGAGAAGTTATTTCCATTACTTTGAAAGGAAATGAAAAGCTTCACCGAAAGATTCAAGATATAGGCCAGTAAGAATGAATGATAAGGTCCTGCTTCCGTCCTTCTGCCAAGGAATATTTATGTGTTGCGCCTCCTGATACTATCTGGAAGGCCATAGGATTATTTGGAATCCCAGCTCTTTGACCTCAGGGCAAAGATTTCAAAGGCTGAGCCCCAATGCACACCTTTCATATCTGGCACATGAAAAGAAACATGCCAGCTGATTCCCCTCATTGCAATTGAACCTTGCAAGAGAAAAGGGGGGGCGCATGCTGTGAGGAGAGGAGGCTGGGGAGGTGAACTTCAGACAACTCCACTGGGCAGCCCAGCCTCACTTCCTTGCAGTCTCTAGGATTAAAACTGAATGACCATCTAGCAAAAGTATCTGGTTTGCGGTGCAGTGGTGGCAGATGTCACTGCTGCTATCATGCTTCTTTCATAGGATGCACAGAAGCTCCTGAGGCTTATGTGCTACAAGAGACCTTATTTTATCTTTGTATGAGTATACCTCCTTGTGTTCAAGTAAATTTGAATAAAACTATTTTTAAAGAGCAGTCCAAGATTACTTGCAGTATGTTCTTATTAATGTGATTTGAAACTTACTTTGTCTATATATAAGTCACTGGTTAAGTCAATAGCATTATAAATACAGAGTAAACATAAAAAGAAGCAGGCTTTCTAAACATAACGCATGGAGTTCAATTGATAGAATTGGTCTACACTAGGTAACTGAGTTTAAAAAGCATGATGTTTTATTACTGTACTTTTACTATAGTAATGTTTTATTATTTCATTTCTATATCACGTCACAGTTGAAGTTCTCTAGGCAGTTTACATAATTCACAGTTTGTAGAAGATTATGAAGTGTTTTAAGCAGTGTGCCCTTTTTGCAAGGTGGTACTTATAAGATATTGCCACAATACACCCTCCTATATTCTCAGAAGTTCCCCAGATGCTAATATCATCTGTTTTCTGACATCCAAGAACATTGGTGATGCAATGACACAACGTTAACCCAAACGACATTTGCACCAAGCCCAATATTCCATCATGCCATTTATGCAGGCAAATTTTGGTGCTAATAACAAGCCAGCCGGCAGCTAAGGAACTTCATTGGCTTCAACTCCGTATCTGAGTAGAGAAGATGGCTCTACAGAATAAATAACTACCAGCGGCATAAAGTTGTGCCTGTTCTTCTGAGAATTCATATACCAGTAACAATTGCCAAGAAAGTGAGGGTGTGCCCTCAGCCTCACAGTACTAGAAATTATCGGGAACGAATTCAATGAACATGTCTATATCTGATGTGACATTGTCTGGTATTAGGACTCCACTGATTTGACAGGTAAACAGGCATGAGCTTTGTGCACAAGGCTGCTCTGTATGTTCCACTTCCATATAGGCAGCTTACAATGCTTTCCAGAAAGACTGAACTCCACACAGTCATCTAAATGGAGACAAGGGCATTTTTAACTCATGACTGTATTTTTGTTTTAAATTTCCACTGCTGTTCAAGTGGACCCCATATTCAAGTCACCTCAGAAATTTTACAAACACAAAGGGAGATGTTCTGCCACTAAACCAGTTTTAGACAAAGAGGCTGAGTTTATACAATAGAAGTTACTTCCAATAATACTAACAAATGTGATATAATCTGTTTCAGAGAATCTCATTTATACATGGTATTTAGTTTCATATGAAATACAAAGAGGTATTTCAAGGAGATACATTACAAGCAGGAACACTGCTATCTCAGAATAGTCAAATCAGTCATAACTTTTTCCACATGGTTCCCATTCTGTATGGTTCACTGAAAGGAACCATCCCGTCCTGGAGCTTATCCCCTTCCAATACCTTTTCCTACATTGTTTCTAAGACAACTTGCCCATTCCCTTCTAACATTACTCTTCAAAGAATTTTATACATAATACCATTCAGGTAGCCACTGGAGATACTTAATAAAGAAGTGAAGACATATTTCACTTAAATAAAAAGTTTAAACTTAAGTGTAATTAACATGGATCAAGGATAATAAGGAAATATACTTACCACATGGGGTGGGATTTTTTGGCAGTTGTGGTTTTTGTTATCACCTTATGTACCAACCTCTACTAAATAAAAACAGCCCTAAATTGTCAACACAGTTTTCCTATCCAAGTGGGATGAGCCCTGCTTAATTCATGACATGTGCTTCTATATTGTGCTGAACTGAAGCAGTCAGTTCTAGACTTTTGCAGCCTGGATGTTTTATTTCAGTCACCCTGCAGGTAGAGAAGAACTCTGTATTTCCTGGCTAGTAAGACACAATGATTGGCATTTAAGGGATCAGGGGTTTTTGTGCTTGGGTTCTGAATTTAGCTCCCTTATAAATCCTTGAAGACTATTCTTCAGATCACCTGTTACTTCACAAGGGGAGATTATCCCCGATAAGCAGTCATACAGAAGAGTCTCTGGTAGACTTTAGGTGGCTAATCTTTGTCCTGCTAATGAATGGATAAGTGGTGCAAAGACATCCTGCTGCCACAGTGAGGCCCAAACTGCACCAAGCACAGAATATAGACCAGCTGTATCCATGTTCAACGTCATCCGGAAGACCATAGAGGAATTTGGGCAAGCGGTTTAGGTCATAGGAGACACTTGCTGCATAAGTGCAGAGAGAAATAGTGCAAAAGATGCCTGCAAATGACAAATCACAGTGTTGTGGTTAGTTAATGTAGAACACGGAGAACTGCTAACAGCTCAAAACAGCCTTAGACAAATCATAAGGCTGCACCGTACTAAACAATGACACATCATTTTGGAAAAGTTGCTCTCTGTTATGGGAATGCTATTGGGCACAATCTTAGGCAATTTCTCACAGAAAAAGACCTACCACTCCAGTGATCCGACATCTAAACATGTGTAGGACTGTACTCTTAGCCTGTTACTGAAATGAAATGTATGCTTAAATCAGTTTTTTAAAAATCCTGATCAGAAAGGTGCACACTTGCTAATAAACTATTTATTAAGATGTGCACGTTCAGTCTAAAACAACACTTTTAAATCCTACTGATTTCAACAAGATTGTACCTGATGTTCTACAACAATGCACCTCTGAGTGCAGATTTTGCCTATCCATGTCTCATGGCTTTCAATGGGATTTGCAGGTTACTGCACATTCTGCCACAATTAATCTTGTTGAAACATCAATCTGTTGCCTTTCAGATGTGGATTTCAATTCCCATCAGCCCCAGTTGATGGCTAGGAATCCCAGGAATTGTAGTCCACAACATCTGAAAAGCACTTGGCTGAGAAAAGCAGCTTTAAAGTATGACTGGAGTGGTACTGTGCTGTCCATCAGTAGTTTTTTTAATCATATAAACATACTAAATTTGCAGAACAAAGAAAACTCTGATGGAAAGCCTGATTTCATGTAATTCTCAACAGCTGACATTTTTGTGTGAAAAATAGTTGGAAGATTTTCCTTCTTGAGAACTGCTCTAATATTTATCATGGACTTCCCACCTTCCTCCCACTTGAAAGAAATGTCTCATTCATGCAGAAACAAAAAGCAGTCTAAGGGAATGAAAATTTTTAGCATTGCGAAACCAAAAGAATGGAAGCTGTTCTGACAGACAGTACTGAATTTACTATAATTCTGAATTTATTGACAGAATTAAAATGTTAGGCAAAATCCAGGATGCATATCTTGAATCTATTTCAGGCATCAGACTCTAAAGCGAGACTTGGGGAAATTCTTTTTCCGTGAGGCTCTGTATTCCCTGTGGGGTAATCTGTCAGCAGTCAGGTCACGGCTTAAACTGGGTAGAACATCCTTTTTCTCCCTCTGCCCTTTCTGCCATCTGATCCCCTCTTCATCTCCTGTACCCTCGACAGATCGCTCTTGCTGATCACCTGCAGAATGCACTTGTAGTTAAATCAACAGACACGTGTGCCCTGAGGCTGCCCCTGTGCTCAGCAGGGAAACGGCATTCCTTCGGTGGCTTCTTCCCCTTCAGTTCTGACTGAACTTGAAGGAGAGGCGATCCTCTTGACCCAAAACTGTCAGCACAACATAGAAAGAATAGTCTACTATTGCTAAGCCATTGGTTAATCTAACCCAGTATTATCAACACTTGACACTCAGCTGGGGACTAAACCTGGATCACAGGCATCTTTAGAGAGCAGGCCCACTTACGTCAATGGGACCAAAGCAAGCTATGACTAACTTGTCTCACTGATTTCAGTGTGTCTAAAGGAAGCATGACTAAATATGGCCCATAATGCCCATATTTATAGACACGGTATTTTAAAATACAGTCTTTCCAGTGAATGGCCCTGACACTGGAAGGTGTACTTTTCAGTAAACTTTTTCTTCTTCCAGCATCTCTTTATGGCTTCTCTTTCCCACTTCACTCTTCTTTCTTTTTCTTTCAGTTCCTCACTCTGACATGAGATGCAGTAAAACTTGTATAGCACCAGACACATACACAAATGGGGGATATGTCATATGTCAAACCACAAAGGGGATTTCAGACTCCACGTTTACTTCAAAAGTGTTAGTACTGATGAGGTTAACACAATGCAGACCCCAGTGCGGGGAGTTCCATAAATTAACATCAGACACAACACGACTGCCATGCATATGACAGTATTTCTGCAGTTACCACCACAAATATTATCTTTACACTTGCCTTTCAGCCATGTATGGTTCCCAAAGTAATTTAGAGAAATAAATTCAAAATTGTGCACTCTCTGGGGCGTATGGAGGGATTGATGGCAGGTGATGACCCAGTTAGCATAAAGTATAGGAACAATCTATATCTTTCAGTACAAAATTGTCTACCTAGGAGCCTTGCCTAAGCTATGATTATGTGCTGCATTTTCATGGATCTTTAAACGCAGAGCCATAGAAGTAGTTCACCTATTATTTGCTTGCCAAGCGAAATGCCAACAACATGCAGATGTACCCACAGCAATTGTGGTTGTCATGCACATTGTGAAGCTACCTTGGTGCGGGGAATCAGAGCCAGAAACAGATGATGCCTGTTTCTTCTTGCATCATCTTACATACCCAATTGGTTCCATCATGCAATGGAAAACAAGACTTTTATGAAAGTAGAGGTTTTAATGATATCCCACATGTTTATGAAAGAATAACTTGTGTTCCATGGAGTCCTACCACAACCTGGCCAGTAAATACTCACTTGTCCCCAGTGAAAGTATGTGCTAGCCAAATTATTTTGAAACCTGAGTCAAAAAATCCCACAAGCCCTTCTCTTCTCCCCTGGAAGTAAAAATACTACAAAAATAAGTAATGGCTAGTTTGCTGTCCTTTCTTGACACTCACAATGAGCTTCCTGAGGCAGCTGCTTTGCTTTGCTTTGCCTAACAGCAGGGCCGGCCATGGGCCCTACACACTTTGCAGGCAGTGATGAAATGGCCCCTGGATTCAGATCGGCAATCAGAAGTCACTCTGAGGAGGAGTCAATGTAAATGGATTGCAGTGTCCAACACAGAGCTTTCATGTAGCCATAAAGTCAATCGGTATTTGCTTGGTTTAATTGCTGTGAGAAACCCACAGGGTAACAAGTGAGATCAGTTCAGACATGAAATGAGTAGGCATCAGCCACTGTGAACTTCATCTTTCTGTTGAAGTTAATTGGGATTCCTGGGACTTCTCTGGCCCTCCCTCCTTTTTCTCACCAGCTGCTTTTCACAGCTTCTAGCAGCTTTTGGCACCTTCTAGAATTTAGGGAGCCCTCTATAAAATCCATTGTGTTAGCTTGTGCTCTGGCTTTCAGCTTGGGGCGAGGAGTGTGCTAGTGGCCAAACAATCTAGAACCCCAGAGCCATGTCCGTCATACTAAGAAGCCCAGTAGCTGAAGGGAACTGTGTAAAATTTTCTTTGCATGTGTATTGATAATCTGCACCCATTTTCCACCTTTGCATTCAATAACAATCTTTCATCTTCCTGTCTCTTCCTGATAATCCTCTACATTAAAGTAAGGGGGACTTGGCTGGGCCAGGCCCCCTGGGATAATACAGTACCTGACATAAGGAAAAGGAGGCCAGCAACATACTGTGTGAGGCTTTCCTCCCAAAAGAAACTGACGGTAGTTACGATGCACCCGCAGAGAAGAACGGCTGCTGCCATCCCAAGAAACCCTGCTGTGATTCTTCTTAGATCTGTTTCCAGAAGTTAAAAATGAGGAGGAGATTAAATTAATACTGCCAGCTCAAGTTAAAAATTATATTACGGCTGTAATCATATGCACAAGTCCCTGGAGTAATCCCTCCTGAACCCAGTGGGAATGAATGTCTGAATAAGCATACGTAACGTTGCAGTGTAAGTGATTTGTATAGCTCTCTACTGATAAAAATAAACCTCTTTTTTCCAGCACAGTGCACCTTGGTAGGCTGCACTTAGGCAGAATGTCCCAACAAATTTTTATTAAGAAACATACTCTTTGTTTTTCGGGGGGAGGCAGCTTGAGAAAAATTTTCCTTTCAATTGCTGGAAAACATATGCACCCATGTAGCTGAGATGAGTTTGATCTACAGATCACCATGGATTTCTCAGCACCACTGTTAGCCTGTAGAAATGTGAATCCATTGCGTTTGCTGTCCTTTTCCTTTTATTCTCCTTTTATTGCGATGGGTAGTTAACAAAACTGTGCAATAATGCATTTATTAACATAAACAGGTCTCTTTTTTAAGGTTACTGAATGTGAATTCAGTGTGAACTGAGAAGGGAAATGCCCTGCACTCTTCTCTGTTACTTTTGCTTTGCTGCTGTTAAAAACCTAGGTAACAACTTGGATGTCTGATTTTGCAGAGTATGTGCAAAGTTTCTTAGCCTGCATGCAATATTTGGTGGTGAACATACTGGTTACTATAAAAGTAAAACATGATCTTTAACATAAAGCAGGTCACTTGCACAATTTGAAGTACTTACGTAGCAGGTGCCATTCATCCTGCTGAATGGTCTTGGTTAAATTGAACGGGATGTTCCGTAAGCGTAAAGGTGGAGCAAAGTGGTACTTGACTGCAGTGCATCTCTGAGCAATACCTTTGTGAAAGGAAATGGCAGAAATGGTTAACTAATTCCTTTGCACTCATAGGCCTTTTTCTGTCTTAACTCACATTGGATTATGCATCAATTCACTTTAAAGCTTTGTTTTTCTGAACCTCTGCATTGCAAAATCAAACCACGAATTACTGCCCCAAGATCACTGTTTGTCTTTTAAAAGAATTAGATTGGAATTTCATGATACAGCTGGCAGTTTTTTTCTTTGGTTTTCAAAGACATATGTGAAAATCATTTTCAGTACAATCCTATGCATGCTACATTAATCTTATAAGCCCCCCCCCCCGAGTTCAATAAGCTTACTCCTGTGTAAGTGGGTACAAGATTTCACTCCTCCACTTCTCTAATTAGTATATTGCCCAAGAAAGATGTTGGAAAAGCCTTGACTGTTTTGAAAGGCTAGTGGATTAGTTAGTGTCCTTGCTCTTATTGTGCCTTGTGCAGGTTTCGACAAGCTCCTGCAATGCCCAGAATTCTCCAGCCAGCATGCCAAGAGCTGTAGGACTGCCTAACCATGCATGGGATTGTGCTATTTCTTCCCTTTATTTGTTTGTTTGTTTGTATTTATTTTTCCATTTCTAAGCCAAACAGATCAAATGAGCTCCCTCAGTGCCATACAACAATAAAATAACAGCCAAGCAATTAAAATTATCATTAAAAATAACCAGTTAATAACAATACTAACATAACATAGGCTAGGTCAATTCCAAGAAACAGGTGAGGCAAACAACCAAACACTAAAGTACAATAAAATTTAAACATCAAAAAACCCAATAATAAAATCAATTGTTAAAGTTATTACAGATATTAAAATAGGTGGAGAAGAGCTATGTTATTTATCCTTCCTGCTTGTTCAGCTGCCTGATTTGTGTGATAGCAAAATGGGGCTTATGGAGGCATTGATTACACTACCTATAAACCAAGTTCTGTGGGTGGCATTCAATACATGCGAGGAGATGACATGTACAGTCAAACCTCAACTTCCATGGGATTAACTTTCGCGGATTTAATTATTTGCAAGTTTGTCTTCAACGATTAAATGGGATTTTGTCTGGGGGCGTTTTGGAGCTTTATGACCTAATGTGAAAAATCTCACATGACACATATAGCCTAGAAAATAGATAAAAAATATTTCCAACTTTGTGGGGCAAAACAGTACTTGGCATTAGCCATCTCTATTATGAGAGTTTGGAGGTAGATATTTTTAAAATGGTTTTTAATTAATTTTAGATGTTTGTGTTCAAGAGATGTTTCTATAAAGCCAACATGCCCAGGTATTCAGAAGGCATGAACCTGGTGGTTCAATGTGGACTTTGGCCCACCCAGAGAAACGCCTTCAGTGTAAGAGCTCCATTGCCTGGAGCTCCCTGTCTCTTTCCAGCACCTCCAGAAAACCCTTATTTCAGGAATCCTTCCTTGGCTCACCAGCCACTGTTTTACTGATTTTGTGTTGTTTTTTTAAAGTGATTTTATCTGATCCAACTTTTATTCCTCACTGCTCCAAAAGGTCCATACTGGAATATGGAGCAATACATAAATCTTGTAAATAATTATATAAAGAAAACAAGTACAAAGATGCTTTCTCTGCCTCTAAATAAAACAAGGACATGGGAAAACAGTTCCCCCAACTTTTGGTTTTCCTAGCTTTTTCTGCACAGATAGATCCCTAAAATTGCCAGGAAAGCCACAAGTGGTTGATCTACAAGTGCACAAGCCCCTAAAGGAATGTGTGATGTACCTTGCTCAAGTTTTGGCAATTGCAGTTCCTCTTTGTACTCCCCCAGCATTCACAAAGCCATTGTTGCATCAGTGCCACAAATGACTTCCAGCGTTGCTACTGGCACAGGATTGCATGGCAATAGATGGCTGATTCTCTGAACACAGACATGGCCCTGCAAGGATTACACTATTCTCTTTGCAAGAGATGCCCTGGTTCATTTGCACATTTGAAACTCTCTGTCCAGGACAGAATCCCATGTGTCAGTCCAATTTCTGCATAATGCTGAACTCCTTCAACTCTACAGTAAGTCTGTAAGAGCAAAGTGCTCAGGGGTTAGCACAAGAAACCAGGAAGAAAGTTAATTTGCCTAAAAGCAATACAGTCTTCAAAATGTTTATGTTTCACTTCTGGCAGAATGCAAGGATGGAACAAAATTGTTTAGTTGTGTCAGAGACATGAAAAGTTAAAGAATGCTGGAATGTCCGTAGAACAGCAGCCTGCAGTTTTAGACTGCAATATGGCAGAGAGGTTGCAAGATGATGGAGAGAAGCTGGAAATGTTTCTTCTTTTATAAAACCGGTAAGAATAAGGAAAGAAATGCTATTTGTGAAATCAAAGGAGGGACATGGAGACTTGGGTGAGAAATTACAAACCGACAGGATAATTCCAGCCACTATGTTTAGTTTGTAAAGTTAATGTTCCCATAGCACCAAGCAGGGCATAAAAGCATTAATCGTTAATTGTATGCTTTAAATGACTTGGTGGTTGTAAATCAAAGGGGAGATGCGCTCAGTTTCCATCTGCTCCTTTACAGTGGCCGCAGAACCCAATTAATTTGGCCCTTCCGTGTATCTAGTCTATTCCCATGACATCCTGAAATGACTAGATAGCCAATAAACCAAAGCTGAATTGAATTTTGACTGATAAACTGTAGACTATGCTTATTTTCAGATCATTTCTTATGCTATGATCCTCAATCCCAAAACAATAGTTAAAAATGATTTATTTCTGAAAAGATCTATAGCTCCTTTCAGCCCACAAAAGGGGCCCAAAAGATAGTTCACAATACTAAGCATAACTGTTAATACAATAAAAATAGGGAATTATAAATATCTTCAAAAGACCACCAAAAGAACTTTCACAAAATGGAATAGCAACAGTTTAAAAATGACTAAGCATTTGACGAAATATATTTGCTTAGCTTCCTGACACCATAAAAGACATGGTCAATTAACCTTCCTTTGGGAGAGAGTTCCTTATTATGGGTATTGTCACCAAAAAGGTCCTACCTTGTATCACGGCCAGGTTGTCCCCCTTGGGAGCACAGCAAAAATCAAAATGTCTGATGGCAACCATAACTGATGGGTACATAGATTCGTAAGGAAGCAGGCAGTCCTTCAAGTATCTTGGTCCCAAACCATTTCAGGCTTTATCAGTTAAATTTATTTTTATTACAGTATTTTAACAAACAACATCTCAAACTGGAAGGGGGGCAAACTGGTGAGACTATAAGAAAAGCAACTGGCCTGAGAACCAAAATCCAACAAAGAGGTAGGGTCTAAGGTTCAAAACACAAAAAGATTCTTTAGAACCTGGTTCAAATAATGGAATTGGAGGACAGAATTTCACTTGACCAGTGAAGCCCTCTTTCATTAGCAGGTGCAGCCTCCCAAATCAATAATTGATCTTAAACTTTATTATCTTAAGAGATAAAATAAAAATCAGGAGAGGACGAATCCTGGTGCATGCCAAGAGCAATGTCCATTCTTTTGGTTCCTAGTGCCTACAATGTTTATCCTATTTGTCCTGCACAAGGACTTAAGCCTGTGGATATGCTGACTTAGATAATGTTCTGGCCATCCTTTTCTGTCAGGAATCATTGCTGTAGCATGCAGGAGAACATTTAGGGTATTCTAAGAAGGGTCATAAATAGGATAAGCCTGAGAAAGCCTTGCATCTATTGCAAGGAAGGTATTTTCTTCTGCTCTGTAATATAGTTAGCTATAAATATTAAATGGTCTCCCTAGAGAAACAAGCAGAGAAATGTCATCATGAGTCTGCCGATTATGATCATGAAAGCACTTAAAGCAATATCTATTTTTACATTTCGCTACTAATAGGGAAGTGCAGCTCCTAACTGAGACTGACATGAAATCCACCATTTCCGTGTGCACAGCACGATTTTTTAAAAGTAGGCTAATTCCCAAGACAATCTGGTGAATTTATGTTTGCACTTTTGGTGGCACTACATTGAAACAGTTCATTAAGATGAATACTGTTTTCTTGTGCCTCTGTCACTAAGAGATGCCACACATTATCTTAAGGAAAAACTTGTAATCATAATGATTTAGATGAAGGAACTATCCATCAAACTCTGATTTGTTCTTGGTTGTCCTTGGGCTATGTATGCCTCTTGCACTTTCAGGTCAAACTAGCAACAACTCATGGACTTGGACATCAGTGGAAGACAGTTCATGCACTGGCTAGGAGCCTAACCAGCAACTAGTTTTATGGAAAAGCTGTTTTTGAAACAGAAAGCAAGGTGAAAGGCCAAATTGCAAATTCATCATCCAAAGTGAAGTCCAGTAGCACAGCCTCTGCATATCCTTTTTAACTGGAGGTTTACAATTGGGAGAAAGGAAACATATACTTAATTTGGTCCTCAGGTCTCCAATTGCTGATCCTCACCCTAGGAGGTTGGGTTCAATAAGGGGAAGCTCAGATGCCAATCTACTCAGCACTAGGAAACCATGTGGAAGCCCACTCTGATACTCCTGAAGAAATCCACACAAAAAGGTGTTTTTCCTTTCTTTTTTAAAATTCACCTATTACTAAAACAGGCAACAGAACTTCCTTCTGATTGGAAGCCAGGTTGGTGCCACCTCCGTTCTCCTTCCACCAGCAAGCAAACATATGTTTGTTCAGGCAGGCTTCTGGCAAATCAGTTGGTCTGCTCTAGAAAGGTGTTTTAATTGGCTGCTTATATCTTTGTTGTGTTTTTCATGTATTTGTCTTACATTTAAATTAAGATATTCATTTGACTTCAGTTTTATTGTTAACTACCTGCAGTATTCATAAAAACATAGAAACAGAGCGAGTCAGAAGGGATCTCCTGGGCTATCTAGTCTGACCCCTGGCTCTACCCAGCTCCACTCACGACATGCCAGAAAGGCAAGATATAAAACAAGCAAACAGGTAAGTATTTTTCTTATTATTTATTTAAAACCTTTCTTGGCCAATTGTCAGGGCAGGAAATGTATAATGATAAAATTAATATAATAATATTAGTATTAAATTATGAATACTAATAATACTAGAATAGTATTAAAATGACAAACATTAAATTAACAACAACAGAAATCAGCATGAGACAAAACCTGTAACACACAAATGCAGTTACAACCTACCGTGTAGCAGGGAAAGCCTAATATAAACAAGAACCTTCCTGAAAGCCTAGTGATGAAGCCCGACAAACCCCCAATGGCAGCCGATTCCAGAGGTGTCAGGAGACTGCAGAAAAGGCCTCTCTTGCGTACTTGCCCTCCTTACCGCCCTTAATGGTGAGCAAATAAGAAAGGCCTCTTTTGCAGCTCTGAGCAGGCAGGCAAGCTTATAAAGGTAAAGACAGCCTTTGGGTAATTTGGTCCCAAACCATTCAAGACTTTAATGTCAAATCCAGCTCTTCCTCCCGCAGCTGCTCATGATTTGGCAATCTACCTGCTTGACCCCCTGCAATGCTTTGGTCCACTTCCCAATGTAATGGGATCTCACTGTCCTAGGGATCTCATTTCCCAAGGAATCATTGCAAGCAAAAATGTCACACTTGGAAGTAGAGAAGTAGACGACGATGCTAGTGCCTCCTTATTAGCCTCATGATTAGGCTACTTATTCCTAGAGGGGAAAAGAGAGCATTATCAGTGAGGGAACGTATGCCTTTTTCAGTAAACAGGAGTACTGGTGATATATAAGAAGTATATATGCCTGGAAAGAGGAGAAAACGAGGGAAGCCTTTGGAACTCGAGGAAATGGATATAGGGTATTACAATGTACCCAACTGGAGTGATTAAATTGGCTTACAAGAACCCCATTCACAAGATCAAAACAGCTGAACAAGTTTTGCATATTCAACACCCAGGCACAGCTTGTGCGCCTAACCCATCTATAACCCATGGGCTGCACAACATGACAGGTTGTCAGGCACTGAATATTCAAAATGGCTGCCTGCACGAATCACCATGTTGATCTGTTTGTGTGAAAAGGCCCAATTCCTAAATAGAGGGATCACATGATTTTCCTGTGGTGTGTTACCAGCCAGTTGGCTTATGGCATGAAGAGCTCCAAACTTTTTGTCTTAGGTAGAGGCTTGGACAATAGAGTCATGAGGTATTTCCAGATGGGGCTTTAGTTACGTAATGACTTTGTCTCATCCATGGAATTTTTTGGGGGTGGTGGTATTCACATGACACACACTTCCATTTCTAATCGTCTGCTTCTTCCACCTTTTAACTTACCACAGAAAATCAACTGTGCAGGGGAAAAACAGAATAGCTGCCCAATGTCTTTCGACTGGTAGTGCTCAGAGCCAGCTTTCTGATACCACCCTGGAACTTGTCCTCAGAAGCAACGAGCAAAAGCCGGAGGGCATGAGCAGGGCTTAGGATTAGACTTCTTCATGGCTCCCTTCCTCATTTTCCTCACCATGCATAAACATCAATATCCAGCCTAGGCATCCTAAGGCTCTCTGCATGCAGGGCTCCCAAAGCTTTTGGGCCCCATACGCACATTTGAGAAACTGCTGTGTGCACCACATGAAAATGCCTAATAAGTGGATTGCCACTTCGGCAGCAACCTGTCATGCCTGTAGATAGGGTGTAATTTATTCAGCGAAAACTTTTGTGTTATGTCTATTGGACACCACAATGACTCTTTGATGAAAGACATCTACTGGCCTGCCTTTCAGATGAATCATCTCTATACTTTTTGACACTCACACACATATTAATATCGCACCTCTGTTCATATTGCAAGGAATTGCAGGTGGTTTACATGGTTCTCCTCATCTCCTGAGAAGGAAGGAGTCCCTGAAGAGCCTAGTGCTGGGAACAATTGATGGCAAAAGAGGAAGGGGACGGCAGAGAATGAGGTGGCTAGATGGAGTCACTGAAGCAGTAGGTGTGAGCTTGAGTGGACTCCGGGGGATGGTGGAAGGCCTGGAGGAGTGTTGTCCATGGGGTCGTGATGGGTCGGACACGACTTCACGACTAACAACCTCATCTCCATTTCACCCTCATAACAATCCTGTGGCGTAGGTTGTTGTTACATGTCATTAAGTCGTCTCTGACCTACAGCAATCCTATGGATGAAAACCCTCCAAAGTGTGCTGTCCCTGACAGCCCGACTCTGCTCTTGTAAACTCAAGGCTGTGGCTTCCTTTATGGAGCCAATTTATCTCATGCAAAGAAGCATGTTGTTTTTGTTAAGCGCCATCAAGTCGCCTCCGACTTATGGTGACCCTGCGGATCAAAGACTTCCAAAATGCCCTGTCCAGTCCTTCAAAGAGGCATATTGCCTCTTGATACTGGAGGTAGCACACAGCCTTCCTACTGGTAACCACGGATAACTTTCTCCTCCACAGTTTTAAAGCCAGCCGTGGTAGCCATTTGGTGGTAGTGAATTCTATAGCTTAACTCTTGAATCCCCCACCATTCACTTTCATCGGATGGCCATTTTTATGAAAGGGATAAACATTTTCTCACAACTTCCTTCACAATTGTCATGCACAGTTTTTCACATCACTATCATGTCCCTCTTCCCTTACTTTCTTTCCAAGCTAAAAAGCCCCAAACCTTTCCTTATTGGAGAACTGCTCAGCCCTTTGATCATGTTCATATACATACATATATATAGAGAGTGCACACACTCGCAGCAGGCCATGCAAAGAATTTGCTCTATAGTCATATCGTAAATTTATATTGGCAATGTTTTAAAAATTCTTTTCCTAATTATCCCCAACATGGACTTTGCCTTTTTCATAGCAGCCAGTTATTAGTTCAGTTTTGTAATCTGCCACCTGAACAAAAAATAAGACCCCTTCTCTCTTCAGTCATTTGCAGTTCAGCCCCCGTCCATGTAAATGAGAAATTCTGAATTTTTTGCCCCAATGTCCATTACACTGGATCACAATGTGTCATATCTGGCATTTCTGTGCCAGGTTTGGAGAAATCCTCTTGGATTTTGGTTTTATATCTTTTTATTTGAACCACCCTACTATTAAGGCACAATCTTATGCACATTTAGACAAATGCCTACAACTCCCAGCATACCCTAGCCAATGTGCTGGGAGCTTACTGGGAGTTGGACGCCCTTTTTCTGGCTAAGCTTGCATTGGATTGTGCTTTAAATAATTCTGTGCCATCAGCAAATAGAGCCACCTCACTGCTCACCCCAGCTCCACATTTATGAACATGTTAAAAAGCCCACTATCACACCCCCAATATTTATTTCTAATATAATAAGAAAGAGGAAAATACTGTGAGTGAATGCAGTACTGCCTATAAATGGCAATAATGCAAAATTAAATCAAAAGAAAAAGAAAGAAGATCATACCACAAATTAAACACTACCAAACAAATGAATATATCAGCAGGAAGATGTAACTGGATTCTCAGATGCATATAGCGCTGGAATGTGCAGGTTTCTTCTTCAGAGCACTAACTGACCAATATGCAAGATCACACAAATGTGAATATCCTTCTCTTGCTCACATGTGCTACGACTTGGGAGAGGACAAAAAGCAACTGGGATCAGTGATATCCAAGGCAGCAGGGAAGAGGATAAGGCAGGATTGTATTTAGGGATTTAAATATATTTTGCAGGTGGTCTATGATAAGGAAAGAATCACAGGTGATTGTGATGACAGAAGGAACATTCCAGCCCCTTGCAATTCCTTCTTTCCTTCTCACCCATCTCCTTTTCTTTTACTATTGTTAACAATAATTTACATCAAGAAATTAAAGCTCTTAAACTGCAGGTTAAAAAACAGCCATTTCCAGCTCAGCACTTTGTCCAATATGAATAATTTTCTTGGTGTTTCACATTAGGAGTGGCTGCAAAACAAAAGAGAATAATTAAGCTTTGTCTGTCGGGGGTATAAATAGGGAAACCAAACGTCACAGTGCTAGTTTCTTGGGCTAGGAGGCCTTTCCTATCTCTTTGTTGAAAGGTGGTGAATGGTTTTGCCTGCTTAGGGGGAGAGTGAATGCTGTCTCTGCATGGCAGTTCACTGAACAGTCCCTATTTTATTGTGAAGGGAAGGTCGCAGCGCCTTTGTATTAAGAGGAAAGCACAGTTGCTGCAGTGTATTTTCAGGATGGAAAGATACTCCTGGAGAGTGAAAAAGAGGCTGCATGGAGTGCAGCCACAACAGGAGGGAGTTTCAGAAGGGTCTGTTGCAGGAAAAGCTGCACAGCCTTGTTACGCTTTAAGGACTCACAGGCATTTCTTGCGGCATAAGCTTGCATACACACTGCCAACTTCATCAGATGCACCAAGTGTTAACCTCACTTTCTCAGGAGGTGGTGGAGGGGACAGGAGATGTTTTACCAGAGGGAACTGAGATGCAAAAAAGTATAGACAGTGATGGCTACCTCAACTGCTGCCATTCACAGAGGTTGCTCTGTGACAATACAGGCATCATTACAATGCTGAACCAGTTAACACCTTTGTCTTTAATCAAACCATAGAAAATAGCGTTGAATTGTTCTCCAGCAATTTCATGTTAATATCTGGCTTTGAAAGTACTACATTAAAGAATGACAATTCTCAGAACATCCTGTGAGTTTGAAATGTCCCGTCCCCTCCCACCTGCTGGTTCTCAAATAGGTCCATTCCTGATGCCAGATTTGTGTCAATGTACTATTTTGGATAGAGACTGGTCCTTTTGCCCAAGGCAGCATGCTCCAGAGCATTGCCAAATGGGGCCAATGAATGGTGCTTTGTCAGGAAAACACACTTCTAAAACAGATGCCTATCAGAGGCACGACTCTGGCGTTTTTGCACAGAACTCAGAATGGGGTGTGGACACATGATCACCCAGCACTCTGATGTGGTGAATAGCTCATTGGTTCAAGTAAGGAATTAGGTGAGGGATTTTTCTTATTGTTGGCTGTGAGTCCTTATGTATGCTGTCCATGTGTCTGTCTACAGTCATGTATATTTAATGGTTTTTAATCTGTGCAGACTGCCCAGAGTGCTTCAGCTATTGGGCAGTATAGAAATGTAATGAATGAATGCATGTACAATGCAGTGAAGAATGGGAGGGTAAGAAGACAATGTGCCATATGTGAGGATAAGGAAAAATAGATCCAGAGTGCTAAGTTGTGCACACGAGGGGAATGGGCTGTTCACATTGTCCATGCACAGAGAAGTTGATGGATATGTTTTGCAGATTCACTATATACTGTATCTGTGTAGTACATGCGGTTCATGGAATGAAAAGATGATGGATGAGCACGAACTGGAAGATTCATGGCTAGTTTAGGGGATGTACTAAGTATTCGCCTGTGCCATGGTCGCTATGCAGTGCCCTCCACCACTGATGCACAACGCCAACTCTTAATCAATTGTGCCTTTCCCTTTTTGTTATAATTGTTGTGTACCACCACAGCAGAAGGGACACTAGGGCAGAAAGCACAATTCAAGAACAGCAGCAGCTGACTTACTAGCACCGGTGTCCTGGAGGGCAGGCAGACAATGACCACAAGTGACAGGTGTGCAGTCCAACACAATGTGAAATGGAAGAGGTGAGATCGCACAATAAAGCAGCAATGCAGCTTTAAGTGATTTTGTGTGCCAAGTCACTAACTTTGCATGCAGGTAGCACGTGTGTGTGTGTGTGTCTGTGTGTGTGCAAAAGGCGTGCTCATGTGTACACTCACACGCACCCACAGAGGTTGTGACCTGAGGTGGGAAACCGTTCTGTTGACGCCGCAAGGAGGCTTCAGGAAGGGTTGCAAGGCGAGTCGAGCGGGGAGGAGAGACTGCAGGGATGGCTCCGATTTAAAGCCGAAAGAGAGTTCGGTGTGAATGCGAAGTCCTCGGGCCACCGTGCGCTGGAGTAAAGAGGACGGAGCACATGACGACCGGTATCGTGCAGTACTCCACCGCTACGCGTGGGCGGGGAAGGAGGCGCATTTGGCGGCGGCGAGGAAAAGAAGGCAAACTACAGCCGGCGGCGCCGGCGCCAGTTCCTTCCCCCCGGACCCTTACCTCTCTCCACCAGGCTGTCGAGGTCCCCGTCGACCCCCAGGAAGTAGCATTTCCTCCAGAGGCCGGCGTAGCTGGCGAAGAGCGGCCGGCCGCAGCGGGACTGCAGCAGCCCCAGCCCCAGCAGGGCACGCCAGTTGTCCAGCAGGAGCAGGTCCCCGGCGGGCAGCGCCGCCGCCTCCGCCGCGCCGCCGCGAGGGAGCCGCCGCTTCGCGTCTCGCAAGGGCAAGTGCGGCAGCGGCAGCAGGCGACGGCGCGGCTCCGGCGAGTGGGCGCTGCCGGCGCGGTCGTCGCAGCGCTGCCGGTGGCGCCGCGGGTCCGTCTCGTACCAGTGGTCGGTGAAGATGGCCGTGACCAGCAGCGCCAAGGCGCAGAGGCTGAGGCACAGGCTGAGCGCGCCCACCAGCGCCCGCCCGCCGCCCATGGCTCGCCCGGGGCGCCCTTCGCCCGGCACGCGGCGGCGGCGGCGCCGTCAACGGACGCCCTTCCCGCCGTCAGGGCCGCCGCTCACGGCGGCGAGGCGAGAGGCGAGGCGGCCGGGAGGGAGCATGGCCGGCGCCCGCGCGCTCCCTCGCCGCGCCGCGCGGAGCCACGGACTGGGCAGGCACTGACGGCGGCCCCGGCGCCCGTCCCTCCGTCCCT